GAAAGAGAGCGTGTGTGTGCGGGGGGAGAGGGGGGAGGGGCAGAGGGAGAGGGAGAGAGAGAGAATCTTAAGCAGGCTCCACGCCCAGTGCAGAGCCTCATGAGGGGCTAGATCCCACGACCCTGAGAACACGACCTGAGCGGAAATCAAGGGTCAGACACATAACTAACTGTGCCACCCAGGTGCCCCTAAATCCATTTTTCTGTGTCCAAAATGTTTTCTGAATTTTAATCCTTTGACTGTCATATCTGTTGCAAATATCACTCCCATCATCTTTTAAATTATGGAGTCTTACCAAAAAAAAACGGTAAGATTTTTATTTATTGAAATAATCTAGATTTTTCTTTTTGTATGGATTCCATCTTGGTTAGTGAGGTCTTCCCATAGTCCAAAATTATAAATTATCCTGTTTTCTTGTACTAATTTATCTTTACATGAAAATCTTCAGTCCATCCAATTCTGATTTTGAGGAACTTTTATATCATCAATAAATAAAAAAGGCATTTGTAGTGTTCATGTAATAAAAGATTGCACAACCGAGAAAAATCACGTCTTAAGACATGAGCTTTCTGGGGGCGCCTGGGTGGCTCAGATGGTTGAGTGTCTGCCTTCGGCTCAGGTCATGATCCCAGGGTCCTGGGATTGAGCCCCGCATCGGGCTCCCTGCTTGGCGGGGAGCCTGCTTTTCCCTCTCCCTCTACTGTTCCCTCTACTGTGCTCTCTCACTCTCTGTCAAATAAATAAATAAAATCTTTAAAAAAAAAAAAGACATGAGCTTTCTTATGCTAGCTTTTGACTCCTAAATATGCATCCAAGAGAAAAGAAAGCATATGCCCCCAAAAGGACTTGTACACAAATGATCAGTATCTTTATTCATACAGCCAAACACTGGAAATGGTCCTGAAGTCCATCAAGTGAATGGATAAATAAACTGGTTTTCTCATACAATGCAGTATTACTTTGTGACAAGGAAGAACCAACCACTGATACATGATGAATCGCAAAAAGATTAAGTGAGATAAAGAAGCCAGAGACAAGAGCATGTACTGCATGATTGCACTTCAGGGAAATTCTATTAGAGGTCGACTCCATTCCTGGGGGTGGAGCCATGCAGAGACGCAGAGATGGAGGGATGGAGCTCGGGAGAAAGTTCTGGGCTGATCTGAATGTCCTATATTTTGACGGGGCGTTGCTTGGGCAGGTGCATATATTTATCAAAATTCACCAAACTATACCCTTAAAATGTGTGGATTTTACTGCCTGCAAATTATACCTCAGTAACGTTGACTTTATTTTTTGAAGATTTTATCTATTTGAGAGAGAGAGAGATCGTGAGCACACGTGCCCATGTGCACACACAAGCTGCGGGGAGGGGCAGAGGAAGAGGGACAAACAGACTCCCTGCTGAGCAGGGAGCCTGATGCAGGGCAGACCTTGGGATCATGACCTGAGCCAATGTCAGACATCAGACGATAAAGCTGATGTTAAAAAATCACGTTTTAAGTGAGTAAATAGTACCCTGGAAAACATTCTGCAGTATATTTCCCTAACTCTTCCTTCATGCATGTTTACATAGGCAAAAACACCAAATAGTATTCCCTGCTTAAGGGTGAGACTAAGGGTGAATTCTATGTACCTGCTTTTCTGTCTGTGTTTTCTAGATTTTAAATTTTCTGTAAGTTATCTGTGGTTTGCCTACATTTGGCTTGGCACTGCACAGGTGGTGGTAGAGACACTGTTTATAAATACAGCCATGACCTGGCCAAGGAGCTCCCCACCAGCGGTGGGGCATTCCAGGTGGGGCTGGTGGAAGGAAGGGGAGGGCTCTCCTTCAACGGTGGAGCCTGGGCCGCAGTGTCTACCCCCCTCACCCCTCCACCCCGGACACACGCACACACGCACGCACACTCCTGCCAGCCGGGACCCTAAAAGAACACATTCAGAGTCTGAGGGTATAACCTGATATAGCTACAGTCTGTTTCAAGTTCAGCATGACCCACTTTGAGCCAGGACGCCTCTGTGGGGTTTCCTGTTTTCGGTCGGCTTCACTTCCGACCAGGCCGGCACCCAGGGGCACTGGCTCTCACCGCATCTTTAGGGGCAGGGCGGCCCTCTCTGGGACCAGAAATCCCTGCCCCTCCCAATTCCTCGTCCTAACTTGGCTCTCCAACACCGAGCCACGTTCCCAGCACAGTGACCCGCAGAACACAGGCTTGGATTAAAGAACAGCTCCCCTGGGCACATCTTTTGCCTCTGTGAGCAATTCCAGTTTCTGTGTCTGAAAACAGCAGTGATATTCTCGAGACACAGGAGGGTCAGATGACATAACCCGAGCGGCCGCACCCCGCCCAGTGCACACGGTGGCCCTGACCCCCTTCTCTGACCCCCTGCTGCGGCATGCCCAACGCACTCCTTCCCCATCTGTCCCTGGGAGCGAACTGAATGAAATGTCCTGTGGGCCGGTCCACGTCGGTGCTGCTAACCCTCCTGATCTCCAGCATGCAATCATGTCCCATGGGCCTGCTTCCTTTTGGGGGTGCCGAGTAATGGAGAAACCCCAAAGAGCTGGTGCAGCCCTCTGCGCCACTCACCGTGCTCTGCACGTGCTGGGAAGCACACAGCGTGACGAGAACAGGACCCTTCCGGGAGGAGGCCCACCGGCCCGGGCTGCGCAGCCCCCGGCCTCTCCAGGGAGGGAACCAAGCTCTTGGTTGAGAAGCTCCGGCTGAGCCCCCACCGAAGTGCCTCCACGGTGTATAAAAGCCAAACAACCACCATCCCAAGAAAGAGGACTGGCGGCCGTGGCTGTGAGCACTGGCAGAAGCAAGCAGGCCCACAACCCCCCGCGTCTGGTGACCAGAAACCACTGGGAGCCGGCGGAGGGTGCCCACACCGAAAGCAGGCACTGAGGGACTTCCCACCCGGACAACCCACAGGGGTGGGGTGCTGAGGCCCGCGGGAGGCCATACTGCCACTGGCTGGCTTGGGACCCACCAAGCTCGCGGCTGGACCACGGGTGGGGCAGTGACTTAAACTCTCCGTAGCTGAGTCTCCCCAGCAGTAAAGTGTGGGAACAGCTACCCCGCAGGGGTCGTGTGCGGATAGGACACAGAACAGCAGCAGCATGGCTGCACGGGAGAGCCCCATGCTGGAGCCCTGAGATGGACAGAACAGCTCAAAGCCCTTGGGGCCAGGCCAGGCACCACTCACCGCAGCGTGAGAGAGCTAGAGCGAGACAGAGGGCCCTGGTGGGTGGTGCCAGGAGGCCCGAGGGTGAGATCCGAGGCAAGACATTTCTCCCAAAGGGACCTCAGTAAGATCACACAGGAGGAGACTCTCAGCCACCATGCCACAGACAGGCTCTCTGCAGAAGCCGGAAACCAAGTGCTGGTCTTGGGTCGGAGGCCACCCTTGATCTTGGCCCCGCCTCCGTTTCAGCTCTGCCCACCCCTCCTCCAACCTTCTGAGCCTCACAACCTCAGCGTCAGGAAGCTCCTGCAGCACCCTGACCATCCCCAAGGCGTCTAAAAGGCATCCCAAACTCTGCCCAGGAGAGAATTCCAACCTCTGCAACACCCACCCCCAATAATTAAAACAATAAATCCCCAAGTCTCCTGCTGTGACTTCAAATGGACTGCAAACCTGGACCATGCTCCCCTCACTCAGCTTCTGCATTTTATGCAGACCCTGCCAGCTCACCCCTACTCCTGCCCCTGCCCCGACTGGGTCAGCAGCCTCCCCACTGCACTCCCTTGCACCTACTCGGTTCACTCTGCAGGGATCCTTTAGGAAGGCTGAGCTGGATAAAGCCCTCCTGGGGGCTCCCAAGCACTCACAGAAAAAGAGAAGTCCCACCTCAGCCCCCGGGATCCATAGGGCCCCATTTCCTCTCCCCCACCTCCTGGCTGGTCTTAGGGCCCTTGCGGTGCTCCCCACCTGCACCACCTCTCCCCTTGTGCTCGGTCCCTCCAGGTCTGCAGTCAAACGTGGCCACCTAAGGGAGGGCTGCTGGCTGCCCCTGGACCACAGCCACCTGCCTCCACCTGTCACAGTGTTCTCCTCAGACATACATGTCTCTGCATGTGTACCTCTCTGTCTCCCTTCCAGGGAAAATGATCCATTTCGGCAGGGACTCTGCCACATGCACTGAGCCAAGGCTAGGATACCACCCACCCTCCCCAACAGGCCCTCTATAAAAACTTGCACAAGACAAATGAATGAAGTGAAACACACCCACGCTGGTCTGCCCGGGGCTTCCTCTGCCTTGGAAGCCTCTCCCCTTTCCCACTGTCCAACACCCCTTGGGCAATCCTCCTCCCTCCTTCCCAGGATCAAAGGACATCTCCTTCATCAGCCTCCTCCCATCCCTCTGCCAGCAGACAGCTCTGCCCAGGAGCCCCTGGCCCCTTCTCCTTGGGGAGAGAGTGTCCCTTGGGCCGGGTGTGTCCCCCTTTCCATTTTTACCCAAATTACACTTCTTCAAGTCCGGAGGGCCTCTGAAGGTCATGTGTCCAGCCTGTTGTACCAAAATCAACTCCCGACCGCCCCCCACCCCAGCACATCCCAGACGGAAGGTCGAGAGCCCCTTGCTCCTCTTTACAACAGGAATCCCCTACCCTGCAGGCTGCCTCTCGGTTTGGGGCCCCCCGCTAAAGAAAAGCGTCCGTACTTGGTTTAAACCGAAACCGAGTGCAGGGCGCCCGCACCCCTCGGGATCCATCCGTGACCAATCGCATCCAGAAGGTGCCCTTCAGGTCCCCGAGGGCCGGTCTGCGCGATGCAGCGGCGACCAGGCGACACCGCCCGGCCCGAGCCTCGCCCGCCCGGGGCGCATCCGCGCAGGGGACCGCGGGCGCCGGATCTCCGGCCCTCCCCGCCCCGACTCGCCCTTTGTCACCGGGTTCCCGGAGCGCACACACCCCCCGCCCCCGGGTGCCGGGCCGCGTCCGTGCCCCCGCCCCGGCTCCCCGGCCGAGCCCGCGAGCCGCGGCCACACTCACCCGCGCCGGGGGCGCCGGGTCCGGGCCCCGGACTCCGCCACCAGCGCAGCAGCGCCCGCGCGGGGTCCAGGCTCACGGCGCAGCGCTGCCGCTTGACCCACAGCACCGAGCGCAGCGGCTCCGCCGCCCCCATCGCGCCCGTCGCCCGCCGGCGCCGCCTGCTCTGCCGGGCGCGGCACGGGGCGGGGGCGCGGGGCGCCGGCGCGGACGCCGAGGGGCGCGGGACCGTTAGCTGC